GAATACATCCACAGAGTGAGTAACAGTACTATAATTCATCAGTGATACTTGTGTTACTATGACTGTATTAATAGAAATGAAGATGGAGTTTATGAAAGAATGGGTGATGATCAGGTTTATGAACAATTAGATGAACCTGATCTGCTTGTTGCAAGAGAAAGTGCTGCTGACACTAGTAGTACAACATATGAAAATACTACTACTGAGCCTATTGTTACAGGTATTACATTACTTCAATCTGTTTGTTGCTACCTATCAATCATGCTTTATTCTGTTGGTTAGAGTCTGCTAGTCTTCATGAAAAAGAAGATGATGAAAATGTATATGAACTGACTGATACTACTTCATTGTAATACCCATCACATACCCTTATTTGGTGTGTATGCTGTGCAGTTTTATGAATGTGCATATAATAAATTTTTATACATCATTAGTTTAGTTTCATTTAATTAGGAATGCATATTTATTTCTAATGTAGTCTTTATGGTCTAATGTAACAATTTTACCAATTTTTAATTTTGTTTACAATGTGTTACTCAAAAGTTTAAGTTTTATCTAGTTGAATGAGATCATATGCTCAGTAGTTTAATTTTTGTTGAGTAGATTTATTACTAATAAAGCCATATTGTGATGTGAAAAAGTGGTATTTCATGCAGCTTCTTATCAGTGGATTGTCAAGTTGCTCAAAAATTGGGCTGAAAACCCTTTACTATAATTTCGACCAAGACCCTGGTCTTGGTCGAAAATGACTAGGAGAGAATTTTCAATTTTTATAATTTGTCCTAATGCATATACATGTTCTTATGTTCTGTAGCAAGTTTGAGCTGATTTTGACCAAAATTATTTTTTTATAAATTTTTTTAAAGTTAATAAAAAATCAGGCCAAAGCCTTGTATGGCCAAATTTTGCCTTAAGTGATTAGGAGAGAGTTTTCCATTTTCATAATTTTTCTAATGCATTTATGTTCCTCTGTTGCATACATGCATGGACTAGTGTAGTTCCTTGTCAACTCATGAAACATGCTTTATCACTATAGGCAGGGAAAGTGCCATATTTGTGTAACCCATTGTGTTAGTCAGCTCAACTACACTACACATCAGGTATGTATATGTGTACATTGAATGTATCTAAATGCATTGGTTCAAATGTGTGTGCATACAAAATCTAGCTAATCTAGCTACGTCTCTTTACTTTCTTTGGACACATGTTATTGTTGTCCTTTTTATATCTGCAGTTATGCTAAGATGCAGTGATAATGGGACTATGTTGACATACAGCTAATTACTGTTATTTTTACTGAATTAATCATTATAGATGTTACTGTTTTACAGTTTGTAGAGTTAGATTTCTTCTCGCAGGCTTAATTGTTTGCTAAATTTGCTTGGTTATAATGTTTCTATTCTTCCTCTTATCATTGGTACTTCATGTATTGTGTCAAGAGTTTGGTTCACTGCCTCCTCGTCCAACTACTGGTCAGTAAATAGTTTTGTAATGAATCTATCTATTGTATTCCATAGGTGTTAGATTGTTTCTTGGTGAGGAGGATATTACTATTGCTAATTTCTCAATGATAACTGCTGGTCTGTTTCATGAAGGAGATAGAGATAGACCTGATGGTATTGCTACTAATTATCCTATTGGTCCTGATGGTCAGAATGATGGTTTGTGGTGTCAGAGTTCTCTTAATCAGAATATGATAGGAACATGGTATCTTCCTGATGGAACAACTGTACCAGTGGGTTCTGGTAGTCCTCTGTTTGCTAACAACACTGCTACTGGTCAAATTGGTTTGTTAAGAAATGGAGGATTAGCAAGTGTTCAAGGACTATACCGTTGTGTTATACCAAATGAAGAAGGAATCAATCAGACACTGTATGTTGCTGCTTATGGTAATGGGGATTTTCTTAAAGATGCTGGTAAGCATAAAATAATAGAATAATTTATTCAATTTTTCTCATTGTACAGAACTTCCAAAGATTGATGGTAGTGGTCCTTCCTTCCAGCTCTTCTCATCAGTTGATGCTGATCCTCCAGTGTTTAGTTTATCATTTACTGTCACTAATAGATCACCAACAATAGTTACTTGCTCTGTTGATAATGGAAACCAGTTTAATGTATCAGATAATGATCTGATACGTACTGTAATACCAGTTAATAATGATGAACAAGTACAAGTATCAGTAATATTTAGAATGAGAGTGTCTGGCCTGTATAAATGTTCTGTTACTACTGACAGAATTACAACTACACCTTTAGTATCTACTAATATGGCAATGAGGAATGTTACTGGTAGGTATATACATATCAAATTGTTTTATCTACTATTTTTTCTTTTAGTAACTGGATCTCCATCAAACTTAACCAACAGCAGAAATAGTCTTCTCTCAGTTACACTAGGCTGGTCTCCTTCAGCAGTGATTAGAGCTACTCCTCAGTATCATGTCTTTGTTAATAACAGTAATGGTATTATTATGAATAACAACACTACAAATACTGAGCTGTCTCTCTCATTACATCCTGATGATGAATATAATATTAGACTAGTAGCTACTGGTGAAGACTTACCTAGTGAAATAATCACTGTTACTGTACCTCAAGGTAATAAATTGCAACAGTAATATGTTATGATTTTTATGATGATTTATTTTTAAATAATTTCAGTTGTCAGTATTGATGTACAAGGGCCAGTTATGATGCCATTGGATCATTCTTCTTCCTTCTCACTAACCTGTACATTGACATTAGCTCCTCAAGTAAATAATACTATGGTAGAAATGTACTGGACAAGTCTTAATCTCGTTCCATTCAATTCTACAACTGATGGAGACATAGTTTTGAATAGTTTAGAGCCTACAATGATATCAGTTAATGATAGTGTTGTATATACACTTACTCTTAACTTCAGTTCATTGCAAGCATCACAAGTTGGAGAATATGTTTGTGGAGCTTCATTGAATGATGGTATTAATATCATTAACCTAACATCAAATTATTCTATATCTGTACAAGGTGAATGATCTATTAATGATTCAAATTATATACTTTTTATCTTTGGTTCATACAATGTAGTACCTACTCCTATGGTCACAGCTAGTGTTAATACAACAGGACGTATTTTTGAGAGCAATGACATTCAGCTGTTGTGTTTTGTCACTATTACTCTACTGGATGTTAATCATATTGTTAACATTAACTGGTTTGGACCTAATGGACTCATTACAATAAATGATGCTAAGTATAGTATTAGTACTAGGGAGATCAACTCAATAACTAGTGGAAGTAGTTTAACATTCACTGCATCTCTATC